ATACTTTTTCTACGACTAATACTTATTATAATCTTAAAATAATTTAAATCAAAAATTTGTATAGAGCGCCATCTATGAAACAATAGGGGAATCTGTGTGTCACCGTCAAATGTCAAATTTTTGTATTTTATAAACAGATTATAAAGGTTATAAATCGAAATGTATTTCTTGAAAATTGACAGTTTTTCACAGTGAAAGTAAAGAAAATGTTTTATGTCCGTGCCCGAATTTAAGTTATAGTTTACTGCCGGCGAAATTAAAAGGTCAGTACAATTTACATATAAACTTTTCAAATATTGGCGTTGAGAAACTATTTCATACTTTTGTATTTACCTGGCATATCGTGACTTTTAACAAAAAAAAACAAAATAAATGGATTCTTAAAACAAAAACGTCATACATATTCAATTTATGTTGAACACGAAATGACAAGGAAGTCATTTATATGTGTTAACTTAAGTTTTTCTCTCACAACTCCTTAGAATTAATATTAATTTATTTAAATCCAGAATTAATGCTTAAAGTTCATGCAGAAGAAATCAACTTATTAACAGTGTATGGGAATTAACTGTACTTACTAATGATATATTTAATTTTAAAACTATGTTTTGTATATTTTTCATTATTTTAAACAAAAGGTGATTTGTTTGGACAATAGATTAATTTAAGAAAGTAAAAGTTATTTATTTTGTCTATGAAAGTATAAAATATTTTTCATGTAAAATTAGGATAAATTAATATTACAGTGTGTATTTTTGACATCAACAAATTAAATTGTCCACACATAAACATAAACACTTTTTTACATTGGTTTTATTTTATTTCACGAGTAAAGACATTTGGTAACCATACCTTTAAATCGTCAACTTTTAACTACATAATTCAAAAAACTTTCCAAACTGCACCCTTAAAAAAGTAATTTGTAATAAAACCGATTCGGAAGATTAACATCCTTCGTGAAAAAAAACACACGTCAAAAAGTTCATGCGGTAGGTAGCTATGAAACAAATGCCGGTATCACATGCGCCAATCATTAAATCCTAATAATATCATCAAGAGTGCGGAAACTGGTCGGCGGCTAATGTTCTGGAAACGGCAACAATGTAAAGTTAAGCAACACTGGTCATGTTACCCAAAACGACGCGATAGCAGATCTTATCGCCATTAGGATCATGCTTGTAATAACTCTGTAAATTATCCGTGTTCTAATGTTTTTATAAAGAAAAACCAACAAACCTTCTGGTTGTGGGGAATACACAGAATTTTCGGACATGCTTATAAAAAAATTAAATGGTAAAATTATTAAGTGCCGCATATGTTTTTAGTTTACTCTTTTACCCCCAAAAAGGAAATTATAACTCAATTTTATGAAAGTGAAGTCATAATTTAGAATTTCGGATATAAAATAATGATTTTAACGTTTTCTGAACTCACACACTTCCGACAATTATTATGTAAAACCCTTTTTTAATGTCTTACTGCTAAAGAACATACCATGTGTTAATATAATTTACACCTTTTTGATATTCGTTAGTTTTTATATCATTTATGATAAAACATTGGCCATAAAATGGAAATATTTTATACAGGGTGTCCGGAAATAAAGTTGCCATAAATAGATGTCCGAAACTTCCACCTGGGGGCGCTATAGGTATTTTAAACGGTGTCGTCCCATCTCGGGACCTCCCATCTCGGGACCGAGGGAAAATTTACCTGTTTCTGTGCCATCTCGGGACCGAGTCTACAGGTACATGTTTAAAAGTGCCATCTGAGGACCTAAGTAAAAGGATTACTTCGCGGATAGTTTTTACATATAAGCATTGAAGGAATATTGCATTATTTTGCAAAATTATTAAAAGCGTCTATTTTATATTACTGCAAAGATATTTTTAAAACTATAATATTTTAAGCGTTAGAAAGATATATATCTTTCAATCTATTTTATGGATAAACAAACACAAAACATTTAAAAATCAAACCTACATATGGGGGGGCCAATGGGGCGGGGTCGGTAGGGTTGTGTTGTTGAGTTTGGCTCATTTTTGCTGTGTTTAATCAATATCCATTTTTTACAAGTTTTTTTTACAATTTTTGCTTTTTTTTTAATATTTATTGAATTTTTGTCCATTTTGTTGATTTTTGCTCATTTTGTTTTTGGTTTTGTTGTGCTGTTAATATAAAATAAGTTAAAGTGTCCCGTTAAAAACAAAAAGCCGTGCAGTCGCTTTAAGTATTTTGTTCATGACAGGTATAAAAATGTATTACCTTGTATAGGTCCCAAAATGGGACTTTTTAATGTTGGAAACATTATGCCTTAGGGTCTGGGTCCCGAGATGGGAAAGGTCCCGAGATGGGAGGTCCCGAGATGGGACTAAGCCTTTTAAACTGTTTGGCAAAGTAATGTTTTTATTAATTATAATTAATAATTATTCCAGAAATTCTCCAGATAATTTTACGTAAAAAAGCTGCTCCTGTACAAAGTTGTGGAGCTAACCGTTTTAGAAAAAAACGCTATTAAAAATGTCTCGTCACTAAAAAATATCTAAAAATGAATTAGTCAAAAATGACTAATTGTCATAGCGAAAAAGCAGCCACTAATAATTCTCGCTAATAGCAATTTGTATCCCGAAAATTTAGCAGTCAATTTCCATTTAAAATTTTCCCCTGAATCCGAAAATGTCGTCAAACGTTAAAAAAGTAAAACAGTTTTTGACATTTACACAATTTTCCATTAAATATGGAATTGACTATATTTCAAAAACTTCTCTACTTTCATAATTTTTGATTCAGGGGACAATTTTATTTAATAATTGGCTGTTAAATTTTGGTATATCATGGTAATCCATGGTTAACCATGGTACAAGTGAAAAAGCAGCCACTAATAACTGTAGTCATTTTTGACTAATTCATTTTTAGAGAGTGTTTAATAATGAATTTTTGTGACAATACATTTTTTATAGTTTTTCTCGAAATCGGTTGTAAAATCAAAAATTCAACAAAATAGCTCAAAAAAGATTTTTTCTTCGAGTAGCCCCTGTTTTCTACGCATATGGTCATCATTTATGCGATTTGACACCACCAGATGATTTTTTGCACAAAAACTATCCTAGAAATTAAGTATCATTATTTTAACAATAACCATTTAAAAATAATTGAATTAGTGAGATCAAGAACAGTACAAGTCCAAAATTGAAATTGTTTACAACTTATTTTATAAAATCGTTTTTTTAATTTAAAATTCATTTATTTGAGAATATTTTTACTATGTTATAAAATATAATGACCATATTTTGTAAAATAGTTAAAACATTCTCACAAAAATGCATAAAAATGATTTTATAAAATAATATGCCAAAATTTTTAATTTAAAATATAAAAAATAGTGGCATCGAATGTACTTTTTGTCTGTAAACCAGTTTAATTACACACTTTTAGCAATCACTTTGGAATAGAAATAAAATTTTTCTTCCTTCATTATAATAAAGGTTAATTTTACCGTCCATAGGGTCGAGTAAGTAGGTCTTTCTACAGCTTGGCTTGCAAAAACAACCGCAGTACAAAATTGTCCTAGACAATATGTTAAATTAATGTTAAATAAAAAACTTATGCCATATCGGCAACGCATGTAGAACTGACAGAATGGAATGAGTGTGATACTAAAAAGTATACTTATAAGTAAATGAGATTGTATAGAGTTAAAAATTTATAAAATTTGTGTTAAAAATAATGCGTGTTAAATAAAAAATGTAAAAATTTACATAAACTTCCTAGTGTTTATAACATACATGATATATGTTACTTAATACAAAAATTATAATAAATAAAATCTTAAAACTTCAAAAGATTTAACTAACATTAATGTGTTAAAAGGTCCTACACAAATAAGAATGTTAAATATTAATTTTTTTTGTACATTGTAGTATAATAATATAGTTAATGTTACTAGAAAATTATGTTAATTTCAATATAATAAATTAGTTTAAATAACTCCTAAACAAGTGTTAATCTAACTAAAAAATATTTGTTAAATATTTTAATACAGAACATTTTTAATCAAATTGAAACAGTATAGTATTTTTTTTATTCAATTCAACTTAAATATAAATGTTATTCTTCTAATTCGCTAATTTTCGCCGCGTTTAGACGGTTGATGATAGTTAATTAGATTAGAGGTTCCTAATTGTAAGGTTAAGTGTGCTTTTATATAGCGTGTGTTTAACAAATATAAAGGTAAGTTTGCTATGATAATGTTTTTTTACTTACATAACGTTTGTATCCACAGAAATGTTTGAAGACCGTTTACCCTATGGCATGGATTTGTATTTTATTTTGGAATACAAAAAAGGACTGGACTGTGCGGTTTTAGTGAATTCCAATGCTTCATTGCTGGCCTTATTTTAAAATTATGTTGTAGTATAATAGATCATTGTTATTACATACTTGCATGTTTTATTTTTTTCCCAAAATAAATAAAAATAAACAATTAATAATGTAAAAATTAATTAAAAAATATTGCTAAAATAACAAATTAAAATAATTAAATGAAGACATACTATTTGTGTAAAATCAATAGAAAGTAGTTGTATGTTAAAGTAACACTTTTTTGTGTAAAATAAATAAAATATAAAAAAATTTAACATACTTAATTATGTTAAAGTTATAAAGATTTTAAATCATATTAATTATTAATTTAGGTTATAATAACCAAAAAAATAAAAATGACAAAACTCGATTTGTTAAATTAACTTTGCAGATATGTAAAAAAATGTTAATTTTATTTTACACATTCTGTTGTATGTAACATTAACATAAGTAATAAAAATAAAAAAAATAAAAAAATTGAGTGGACTTTCTGGGACACAAGGAATATGTTAAATATACATATAATTTTTTTACTGTATATTGCGTCTTCAACTGTTTGTTTTAGAGAAGTGGGCTTTCCCCTAATGTTAAGCGAATCTTCTCTATGTATTTCAACAAATTTCTCATTTTTTTTTTAGAAAAATTCGTAGAAACCTCCGCGTCCTCCGTACCTTCGACACCCGAACCTGCAGGTTTAGACTGCACCGTCACGAGCGTAGACAATGAGAGCGGCAGGGACTCTCCGGTGGACGTGTCGTCCACGTCAGAATCCGGGACGGCTTCCACCGGAACCTCCGGAGGCAGGAGGTCTCCCGCGACGAGAAACCCTTTGCTGCAGGAACGGTGGACCAGCGAGGAGCTCAGAAACGTCACCTGTCACCTGGAAACGAAGGATCTCTGGGACAAGTTCAACGATTTGGGCACCGAGATGATCATCACCAAAACCGGAAGGTAAGAATTGACTTCAATGATTTGCTACTGGTACATAAACCCATATAACATTCGATTTTGTCCAAAAAACTTAAACTTATAGTGGCATCCAGTGTTGCCAGTAGTAGAAAAATTAAAGTACTGAAATGGGAATAAAAACGTATTGAATTTGAAAGATAACGTACTGACTTTGGGTTTTTCTCCAATTTTGAGAAATAAACATTAAACTTATATGAACGTAAATTTATGTTGTACTTTATCAATAAGGACATGCACATAAATAAACTATAAACCTCAGAAGAACAAAATAGATAATTATTATTATACCATAAATAGCTTCAAGTATAATTGGGAATATATATATAGTATATAGTATACTAATTAATTTTAAATTAACCTTTGTTATTTCAGAAACTAGGGTTGGATTTCTGAAAAATCATCTTGATGTATTTCCAGAATTAGAGTTTCCCGACCCTGTTTTACAACGTCTATTATTAGATGCATTTTCGTTTTAAATTCGTCCTGGATTTTCTTTTTTTGTCTTTTTTATCTTTTTAATTTTTTAAAGTTGTATGAAATATGCATTCCATTAACTTAATGCGAACATGCACTGTTCAAAATTTCATGACCATTTTACCACCAAATTAACACCATACATGGTCTAGGTCTATATCGATACAAACCAAAATGGTGTTAAATAAGGTTCGTTGGTCCAGTGTTAATTCGAATACTAAAATGGTGTAAATTTAACTTTCACACAGTATTAAAATAAATTTTACCTGGCGTAAATTTAACTCCTTTTCAGTGTTAAATATAATGTGTTTTTGGTCAAATTAAATCATACTACACAGAAAAAAAAGAAAAAAAGGAAACAGGAAGTTCCTTGACACATTACAAGTATATTACCAGTGGTATTATTCCAGAAAATTGAACCTTCAACTCGCTAGAGATAATGTTTTTAGTGCGTTCCATCAACTTAAAATACTTCAAATATTGACAGCTGTTTCCACCTATTTAAGGTCTCTTAGTATCGAACAACATGTAGTGTCACACCAAAGCAAAGGACTACCTGACCTTATATACTCTTCATGTAAGTCAACAAAGGCGAGATTTAACAATATCACGTGATCCACACCGCCTTTGCCGCGATCGGTACACACTATGCAACAAGGAATGCACAGCAAATTGTTTTAATCGTTTTAACAGAGTGCTTTAGGTTGAAGTAACTCTTATTCAGGGCCATATTACCCATTAGGCAGGCAAGGCAATTGCCTTAGGCGCCACGAAGAAATAGGCGCATTGTCCCCAACCAACTAAAAAATAAAAATTCTCAAAAATAAAAAAAATAACATTATACAATTATGAAAATAATATATTCTTTACTGTTTTTATTATTTTATAAAAATGTGGCGTGCTTTGTAATAACGCGGTGTAAAGCCGACAAAAGACAAAAGCTTGTTGCAAATTCACTTTTTCAAGGTGTTTTTTAATATTTGGTAGTTTTTGGTTTAGTTTACCTTTTTTTAACTACTTTTTAACTATTAAGTCAACTTAAACTTTACCTAATTAACCAGTTTAAGTTTATTTTAACTAGTGGAAGAACAGATGTTTTCTTTTAAACACGCTGAACTTCGCCGTTTGAAAATGTAAAATGTTTCAATAAAGACTTATATTATTATTATTATATAATTATAATTTACCAAATATAGTTATGTACTTTTGAAATGAAATAGTCAAAATTCTATTATTTAAATTAGTATAGGCATTGTTTACTACTAAAATAGTCGTTTTTACTTTTAAATATTAATTTTTTACTACTTAAATGGTTAAAGTTTAAATAATTTAAGATCTTTTACTGTTTCTAAGAGGAATAAGTAACTAATTTCTTTAATCGTTTTTAATTCTTGCGGCCAACAACAAATTATTGTTAGCGTTAAATGCATATAGGCTCCATGGTTAAATGGTCCATAAAAACAAAGATGCTAAAAGTTGCTCCAAACAGCAACACAAAAAATATATTCAACTTTTATATATTATTAACAATATTGATTGACAGATATAACAAAGTTTTAAACAAGTAGCAGTGGTGCAGCTTTTGGACATCCGTTTGACAAGTTAGAGAGCCGAGTTCAAACCTCAGCTGGGTCAAAACTTCTTAAATTTACTAATTTGACTGTTTCAGTCGGTATAGTTTGACTAATTATTAGTGACTGCTGTCGCTATGACAATAAGTCAAATATGACTTATAATTAGTCATTTTTGACTTTTTCATTTTAAGAGAATATATATATATATATATTATTATTATATATTTAAGAGAATATATATATATATATATATATATAGATATAGATTATAGATATTACTTATAGACTAAACGAAAATATGTCTAAAAAAATAACTACTCTTAACCATTTTTAAATGTCAGAAGTTAGAAGTTAATATAACTTTATGTAACTTCTAAAATATCCTACTTTTTAACTTATAGGTAAGTAATATTACTAACTAGTTAAATATTTGGTTTATTTATAGTCAATTTAAACTCTTAAAATAACCTTAATTTACCTATAAACCAAATATTTAACTAGTTAGTAATATTACCAAGGTTTGTTTTATTAGTTACATTATACTAAAAAATAACCTTTGAATTTACCTTAAGGTTATAGCAACCAGTAGGTAAATTTAAAGGGTTATTTTTTAGTAAATAGTAACCTTAAAAAAATGTTAATGGTTGAATACAACTAATTGGTTAAAAACATGTTTAAAAAACAGTTATTTTACTTTGATGTTGGTTATTTTACTGAGAATGCTAGTTGTTTAACTAGTTGTGCTACTTGGGTAATGACATCTTGCAATCCTTTGCAGAAAAAGGCACTTATAAATTTTAACATTTACACTTTTTATGAACATTATATTTATTATGTTTGTATGTTATTTCTGTTTTTAATATACCTAGTTTTTGATAAAAAGTATTTTTATTCATACGGGATAATTTGGTTAGTAAGCCCGGGCGCCCTTAAGATAACAGATTGGGGTGTCTCTGATAAGCTTTTCTAAAATTTTCCCTGGCCCCGTAAGTACATTATCTAGTAATAGGCGCCAAATTTTAAGTGCCTAGGGCGCAGAATTGCCTTAAGCCGGCCCTGCTCTTATTTCACAAACAAAATATTTAGTAACTGAACCATACACCGGGTTGGTTTCACTAAAGTGTTCTGGGTTAATTTAACCAATTTAAAAAAAAATAAAATAACTATCTGGTTTAGTACCTTCCCATAGTTGATTTTTTGGTGTTTGCTGTATAAAACATTTTCAACCATAATTCATGGTGTTATATTAACACCACTTGGTGTTAGATTTTGACAACATTTTAAGATTACTTTTCACACCACAGATATTTTAAACAGTGTGCAAAGGGCTTCATTCGTCGGCTTGCAAACAACTTTCTTTAAATCTTTCATTTCAGCAGGATTGGCTTTACATATGAAACATGACGAAGTAGAAGAAGTTTTTGTGATTATTTGAGCTGTCTTATCATAGTTTTTGTGATTATTTGAGCTGTCTTATCATATTAAACTGCATCTTGTGTTTAACAGCGTAACTTTTTCCAGGTATTTTTTAAATGGACAATTTCTTCAGTTTTAATTAAAACACATCTTTTAAATTTTCATAAAAAATTGCCATTATTTATTAGATAAAGAGTTACTTTAAACATATTTTCAAAAAATCTAATTCTTTAGAGTAGTTTAAAAAATATAAGGTATTAAGTACACTGATAGAAAAAATGTTGTAGAATCATTCAAAACGATAATAATTCAAAGGGATTCAAATATGTTTTGGCGTCATTGGTGCGTCCCATTAAATTAATAGGTGTATAACAATTGTATAGTATTTATCTTTTTGAAACAACGTTGAGAAAGGCAATAAATTAATAAATTTCTTTATGTATTTATATTTTAAAGAGGGTACACTTTAAAAGTTTTTAAAAACATTGTAAAACTGTTGGTAATTATATAAAACTAGAAATTTTTCAATTTGAATCAAATTTACCCGATTATTTAAATTAATATAATTTCATATGCTTTTCATGACATGATATTTTTCTGAGTGTAAGCGTAATTTTAAGCCAAATTTCCGGTTTTAAAAACATTTTTCTTTGAGAGCTCATATAATTAAAACGTAAGTGATCTAATTGATTTTTACCAAAACCTAATGGTTAAAGGTGTTTTTAACAAATTGACGTCATAAAATTACCAAAAATAAAAACATATTAAAAATGTATTTTTCCGCTGATTGACCAGCGTGCCCGTGACCAGTGAAATCATGATTAAGTCGTTGGATCAGGCAGTGTAAGACAGAAGGTAAACGATCTCCAGGTAGAAAAAAGTAACGAAAAAAACTCTAATCGATTATAAAAGTGTTCGATGGCTAATAACGATTAGACGGCCTGAACGCTCGACTATTAAGCGATGTTTTGTTAAGCCTTTTCAACCCTCCGACGTCCGTTCAATAAATAGTAAAAAGGTACAGGTGCGTGGATCGATCGGAAAAATTTGATTGATTAGCTTTAAATGAAGGCTAATTGCCAAAAAGCCCGGGTAATGAAATTAGAGTAGACAGTTGTGGGTGGGGGCAAAATAAACAGATTGAAAACAGGCGCGCGAGACTGGCTTTTGAATACTTTATTTGAGTAATCGACGTACTAAGGTAAATATTTCGTTAAATGCCTGCTGCTACAATAATTAGAGGTTGTAAATCAGTCGATGGGAAAAAGCAATGTAAGCAAACACAAAGGTGATTAAACGGTTTAGTGGTTTTAGACGAATAACTTAAATTAAGTAAAGTGAATTTTTTTAGTACTCAAAACATTGACATTCTTGCTTTAGGTATATTAAAAGAATCTCAACCTTTTATCCGATTATTCATACCTACTCTTTATTTTTGTTGTTGTTTTTGTCTGTCATATTTTTCAATATGAAAGTTGGCACTCCGAAATTACAACATGCGTAGAGGCACATTTACAAGGTTTTTGTATTTTTTCAGTTCTTAATTACCAAAGACCGAAAGTGCCTAAAATAGGCGATATGAAATAAAAACAACTCGATTGAACATAACATTTATTTAGGTATTATCAATAAAAATAAATCAAAAAATATATCTAATACAAAATACATAATAAAAATAATAACACAAACTCAAGCAAACAATATTGCCATATGGGCCATATGAATAATTGCCGTGTGAATAAACAAAATAAAAACCTTATACCTACTTGTAAAATTTAAAGCAATATGAATAAACATAAAAGTAAAATATCTTACTTAAAATGATAAGTAAATTCATTTACTATTACATTAATATTAATGAAAACCTTTTACTGTGTATACCATAATATGGTATATATTATGTAATATAGTACAG